TTATTATTCATTTTTATGCTTAAAGTTTACCTTAAGTCTGAGGTAGTTATTTTATCTCTTTGGTCATTGTGTTCCCAATTTTTTGAACGTGGGTTTATTTTTTGTTTCTATTTTGAGATCTAGCAAACATCCAAAAGCATGCCTGAACCCTCTGTGTTTTATTGAAGGAATAATTATAGAGTGGCCCACCATGGAATCCCCACTCGTGTTAAGAAATGGAACGTTGCAAGTAGCCACAGTCATCTTCTTTGGACTCTTTTCCAATACTATGTTCTTCCAATACTTCCAATACTATGTTTCTTTTTTGGCTTTATCATTTTAGCTTATAAGTGTATCACCAAGCAAAAAGAACATTTTTTTCATGTTTTCAAACTTGGCATGAATGGAATTGTGCCGAAGTACAATTTTGCTTATTTCATTCAACAGGGCAACGGGTGTCTTTGCTTTTATTGGCATATTGTGAATAATTGTATAAATGTAATTGACTTGGTAATTTCTACCACTGGCAGATGTCTGATGCATTTCCTGTGGGGTTATTATAAACAAGGTTCCTGTGAAGAGTCTTGACTATGTGTCCTGCTGACTTAAGCAAGACATTCTCTAGAGTAACACTGTCAGAAAGAAATAATGTGAGCCATCTATACAGTTTAAAATTCTCTAATTGCCATAGAAGGAGTCCTGGTGGTGCAGTGGTTTAAGTGTTTGGCTGCTAACTGAAAGGTCAGTGGTTCAAACCCACCAGCCATTCCACAAGAGAAAAATGAGACCATCAGCTTTGGGAAGGATTCACAGCCTCAGAAATCCTATGGGCAGTTCCACTCAGAGTGAGTCAGAATCTACTCAACTCAAATATGGTGATGGTCATATTTTAAAAGTAAAAAAATAAAATAACAATAATAAATGAAGTTAGTTTCAGTAATATATGAAGGAGACTCATGAAGTTCACGGAAAATGGGATGGAATTTTTCCATTGAGATTTTTGAAGTTCCTCTTAGTGCATTTAATCAATATGTACAAATGTTATTATTTCAAGAGATGAGCATTATAAAAAAAGGAGACTAGGTGGTAAAAAAACAATTATGCAGTCAGCTAGTACCTGGAAGGTCAAGGGTTCGAAACCACCCAGGGGGCTCCTCAGGAGAAAGACCATCTTATCTCCTCCCATAAAGATTACAGCTTGGAAAACCCCATTGGACAGTCCAACTTAGTCATAGTGTAACTTCTATTCTGTCTGGCATACTCTAACTTCCGGTGTGGCACCGTAGGATCAGCACGAGACTGTGGAACCACAAGTTCAAGCCCATCGACTACTCCTTGGGAACTCTATACAGGGCTGCTATGCGTCGAAACCGACTCCATGAGACTTCACAACAGCAAGAACTCTGTCCTATGGAGTTGCTGTGAGTCAGAAGAGTCTTTACAGTGCCCAGTGACAACAGCCACAATCATTATAAAGTGGTTAAGGAGATAGTTTGCATACATTTGTTTTCTATTAAGTCCTTGAAACCTAATGTGTGCTCTACCTTTGTTGTTGTTAAGTGATGTAGAGTCGGATATGACCCATAGTGACCCTGTGTAAGGTTTCTTAGGCATGACTGGTGAGCTTGAACCACCAACCTTGCAGTTCAAATGGTTTTGTAGTCTGGTGCATTAACCCACAGCGCCACAGCAGGATGACAATATCTTGTAGTACATACTCTTATACCCACATTTCCAGTGGTCAGTAGCCACAGGAGACAATGGCTACTCTTTTGCAGCTCCAGCACATTAAACTGCGAGTGCAATAACTGGTTAATAGCACAAACACATCCTCAGTTGAGTAGATAATGTTACTTTCCCATACGGTGATTCTAACAACTAGCATTCTAACAACCTGTGTTCCATATTCTCAATGGCATTTGGTGTTATCAGATACTTTAATATCTACAATTTAAATCTTGGATTTTGTTGTTATTAGCAGCTGTTGGTCCCACCTCATGGCGACACCCGGTATAACAGAATAAACTGTTGCCTGGCTCCTCATCATCTCTGTGAATTGTGATCCAATGGGCTTTCATTGGCTGGTTTTTTTGGAAGTAGATCACCACCCGCCTCTTCCTAGTCCATCTTAGTTTTGGACACTCTGCTGAAACTTGTCCAGCATCATAGCAACATACAATCACCAAAGGATGGTGGTTGTCCATGATGTATATTGGGCCAGGAATCAAACCTGGGTCTCTGTGGGGTGGTAAATGACTTAATATGACCCTTCTAAGGTCAGCAGTTTGAAACTACCAGCTGTTCCACAGGAGAAAGATGAGGCTTTCTACTCCCATAAAGATTTACACCCTTGGAAACCCTGTACAGGGTTGCTATGGGTCGGAACCGACTCGACGGCACTTAACAACAACAACAACAACAATCATAGTCTTTGGGAGTCCTGGTGTGGTGTTGTGGGCTAATGCGTCAGACTGCAAATTCATTTGAACTTCAAGGTTGGTGGTTCAAGTTCACCAGCTGCTCCTTGGAAACCCTGTACAAGGTCACTATGAATTGGGACCATCTCAACAGCACTTGATAACAACAACTACAACCATAGTCTTTGTAATTCCTATTTAATGAATGTGCAAGACTAGGCCAATGTGACATGCTTGTAGCCCACAAAAGAGATTGGATAGCTTTCTAATCATGTAAATAAGATATGTGGCACCCTGCTGGCGTGGGGACATATAAACATGATATATGAAACTCTAATGTGGGGGTTGGTTAGCTTTGCCATTCTGCTAGGTTTAAAATGAGCCATCTTAGAAGCAGAGGTGGAAATCAACCATCAAGAAAGAAGAGCCAGGAATGGAGTGTCTACTTTGGACCCAAGATCCCTACGTTGAACCTCTTAGATCCAGGAGACAGAGATGGTGAGAGATGACAGACAGGCAGACAGCAGAACTAACACAAGACACAGTGGTGGGCTTCCCAGACCATGGACCAGAAAGCTGCATTTGGACAGGTGGTTTGCTGGTGAAATGAGTTGCCTCTGACTCTTAACTGGGGCAGGGGAGCTGAGTTTTCCAACCCACAGACCTAGAGATGTGCTCCTTCTGGCCCAAGGCTCATTGGTGGGGTGGGTGCTTAATCATTAGAACTACTCTTGCCTGAGCAGGACAGAGGACAAGAGGCCACCTGACTGAGAGACCAAGGTGTGTTTGTGGGCATGGTTGAGAAGAGGTTCTTCTAACTGAAGAACTGCATCCTGGGCATTTTTTTTTTTTTTTTCATTCTGAACCTTAAACTGTTAAGTTTCCTAATACACTCCATAGTCCTGAGTATTGTCTGTGAGTTTTGTGTGGTCACTGCAGTGAATTACATAACCCAACAGAGAAGCAGTGTCAGATGTTGTTACCAAGTAGATGGTGTCAGAATTGGTAAAGAAGGTTGGAAGGTGAAGGCATATCTGACCTCTGCCTCATAGGAGTTGGCCTTAGTCTGATGCTGAGTTTAATTCTTACGGGGTCAGACTCCGACTCCATATTGTTGCTACAGACTCTTCTCAGAGTCAAGAAATCTACCACTGTGAGTAACTCATTGGAGTCCTGGATAGAAGAGATGGTTAATACCCTCATCTGATATCTCAAAGGTTAGAAGTTTGAGTTTATTCAGAAGTACCATAGAAGAAGGCTTAGTGATTGATCTGTGTCAGAAAAACCAGCCATTGAAAATCCCACGGAGTACAGTTTGTATCACACACGTGTGATCTCCATAAGTTGAAGTGGAGCCAACGACAACTGATTCGTTAATTTCCTTGAAAGCCAGAGCTATTTATGTTTGTCCAGAGAGCTTCCCTTATCTCAAGTTCATGGTAATAGCTTGCTATCGTATCTTCTTGTCTCTCCAATTTGGGTCTTCAAGGAGCTCCAGTGGTGTAGGGGTTAAGCATTCTACTGCTAACCAAAAGTTTGGTGGTTTGAATGCACCCATTGCTCCAATGGAGAAAGATGAGGCAGTCAGCTTCTATAAAGATTGGCAGCTTTGGAAATCCTCAGGGGCGGTTCTAATCTGTGGCTGCGAGTCAGAATCAACTCCACAGCAATGGGTTTAGCTCTTGAGGTATTCAAGCCACCTGTACCACAAGACATTTGCTGGACTAGACAAATGATGTCAGTCCGTGTTGCACATCAAGGCAAAGTAGGGCTGGTGTTCAGAACGGTTCTCATTCTCTAGTCTCTGCTTGGAAAACTGTGTTTACCCTTTTGGAGACCTGCTCAGTAGGTGAGATTCTCCTGTAAGCATCCTGCCTTATGGTAGGCCTGTGCGACATCTTTGTACCTTAAGTCCATGGTTTTAGTCCAAGGAATCCAAAATTTGATTATTTGATGGTCACTAAATCTCTTCAAGGCATAGATGCTTCGGGACTCTACTTCTCTGTCTGGGTTCCCACCCTACCCTAGATTTATTCTGAAATTGTCTTGATTGACTGATTAGTAGTTCTTCAATGATTGCTGTTGGTGTTACCCAGCATGCTGAAAATATAAATAACAAAACACACACACACTTAATAATTTCAATTCAGTGACAACCTTCAATGGCTTTACAAAAATATTAAATCACTTTTTTCAGGAACATGTGCGTCTCTCAGCAGAAAGATGGATCTGATACTCAGTCCACCAAACAACCAGAAAGAGCCCTGATTTCTTTTGCTCTCAGTTCTCACTCTGTGATCTCCTTCTGGCTCTTGTGTTTCAGCAGTAGATTTGTAGGGATGACTTCCAGATTCAGGTCTCCAGAGGCCCTCAGGACCCTACTTGGTCCTCAGTGTCCCCCCCCTGTAACATGGAGGATGGAACTGGAGGATCAATCAGTCCCATCCACCCCCACACATGAGGTTCCCAAGTTCCCCTTCAGTGGTGGCCACAGCTGTCTGTTACCCACAGGCTTCTTCCTGTTGGGGTTTTGTCAGCCTCTCCCTACATTCAGAGCATATATTTCCCAGATAGAAGGACCTGGTCCCTGCTGTGGATACAGGCATGCTGGTCCTGCTGCTATTGGCCCTGCTGTGGAGGGGTGAGTGGGCTGAGGGATGAGGGAAGCAGATGGGGTCCAGACTGCAGGTGCAGCGGTGTCTCTGTGTCCCTCAGGGTCCCTGCAGGATAAAGAGTACAAGCTGCAGGTTCTGACATCGGTGAGGGTCCAGGAAGGCCTGTGTGTCACTGTTCCCTGCAATTTCTCCTACCCCTGGGAAGATTCATTTCCATCTGGTAAACTCTACATCTTCTGGTTTGAGGATGGGGCCAACATATACAGAGATCCTCCGGTGGCCACAAATAAGCAAGAGCAAACAGTGAAGACAGAGACACGGAGGCGATTCCGCTTCCTCGGTGATCCCAGCACTAATGACTGTTCCCTGAGCATCACAGATGCCAGGAAGAGTGATACGGGGATCTACTTTTTGCGAGTGGAGAGAGGACTGAAAGTAAGATACAACTACAAAGATAAGCTGCATTTGCGGGTGACAGGTATGTCAGGGGCCCCAGGAGAGGAAGCTGGGATGAGGGGACAGCCCAGGGAAAGGATGGTCCCTGCTCCTGTTCACGGAGCCTGGGTGGTCAGAGGAAGTACAGGATCAAGACCAGTTCATATCCTGAGACACTGGCCAGTGTCAGGGCCACACTCTGGGTCCCCATCCTCCAGGGGCCCAGACACCTCTCTCTCCTCCTCAGACTTCAGAGAGAAACCCAACATCTACATCCCGGAACTTCTGGAATCTGGCCGCCCCACAAACCTAACCTGCAGCCTACCAGGATACTGTGATGGAGGGAGACCACTCACCTTCTCCTGGACAGGGGGTGCCCTTAGTAGGCAGGACCCTAGCACCCTGCAGTCCTCAGTGCTCACCCTCATACCGAGGCCCCAGGACCATGGCACCTACCTCACCTGTCTGGTGAAACATCAAAGACCTTGGTTGGTCACAAAGACGACCATCCAGCTCAATGTCTCCTGTGAGTGTGGCTGGGATGGCTTGGACTCTGAGGACATGGGAGTGGGGTGTGTGTGTGGGTGTGGGTGTAGGGGGAGAAGATGAGAGAGAGTCCAGGAGAAGGTGGAAATGAAAGAGGAAGGAGCAGAAGGCAGGGCAGGAAGGAGGGAGCGAGACACCAACATGCACTAACCTTGGGAAACTCATGCCCTGGGTGTCTGAGTGGAGAGTAGGCAAGGAGGGCAGCGCTCACCTTCCTCTTTCCTTGGGATCTTGGGTTCAGAGCCAACACTGATCACACTCCTCACCTCTGAAGTACGGGTCTTATCTTTCTATCCCAGATGCTCCAAAGAACCTCACCGTCTTCTTCCAAAATGGCACAGGTAGGAAAGAACCTCTCCTCTCCAGGGCTGGGAACTCAGAGCAGAGGTGGGGATCAGAGCTCCAATGGGATCAGATATGAGCAGAGCCAGGATGGGAATCATCACCCTCCCTGCGCTACCTGCCACACACACTCTCTTCAAAGACGTGAGTCAGACCTTGGACCCTCCCATGTCTCCATCCATCCTGTGGTCCAGATCTTACCACAGTCACCAAAGATCTCTTTGTTGCCAAATCCAAGAGGTGGTCCATGCCAATCCCATTTTACTTTGACAGTGCTCTGTGGGTTTCCTCCTACCTCTCCAACTTGGACCCCTAAGCCCTACTTCCTGCTGCATTAACAAATTCTATTTCCCAAAGTCATCTGGGCCAGTCTGTTCTCCCTCTGTTAAAAAGTATAGGCATGCACGATCCATTGAGATGACCAGTCTGCTGTGAACGTATGATGTCCAACACTTATGGTCACCCTCTTTAGAGCGCGAAGGCTCCAACCTTGGAACACATGCTGAACCTGGTGTGGGCTAGGGAAGGGGAGGAAGTGTTCAACCAAGAGGAAGGGATGGTACTGCCAACTTTCCTCCATCCACAGGCTACAATCGCTCTTTCTCTATCCCTTTCTCTGTATGCCTTTCTCTGTCTTTCTCCATCTCTTGTTCTCCATCTTTCTTCCTCCATTCATCTCTTTCCATTTTTCATCTCTCTCTGTCTCTCTCTCTCAGTCCCTCTTTCTAAAGATCTTGAAGTCATGGGAAACACCTCGTCCCTTTCCATCCTGGAGGGCCAGTCCCTGCGTCTGATGTGTGTTGCTGAGAGCCAACCTCCTGCAGAGCTGATCTGGTTTCAGGGATCCCGAGCCCTGAATGCCTCCTCCTTCTTAAACAAGGTGGACTTGGAGCTGCATCAAGTGAGAATTGAAAATGAAGGAGAGTTCACCTGCAGAGCCAAGAACAGACTGGGCTCGCAAAATGTGTCTCTGAGCCTTTCTGTACTCTGTGAGTGTGGTGACTCCTGAGGGCAGGACACCCGGGTCCTGGGGAGGACACAGGCACTTTCTGAACCTTCTCTTTCCCCTCCACAGACCCCCTACAGCTACTGGGGCCCTCTTGCTCCTGGGATGCCAAGATTCTGCACTGCAACTGCTCTGTCCAAGCCTGGCCAGCTTCCTCCTTGAACTGGTGGATTGGGGATAGGCTGATCAAGGGAAACAGTAGCAATGATTCCCTCATGGTCACCACCAGCTTCACCAGACCGTGGATCAACAGCTCCCTGAGCCTCCACACGGAGCTCAGCTCTGTCCTCAGACTCTGCTGTGAGGCCCAGAATGACCATGAGCACAAGAGGATCACTGTCCTGCTTCTGCCAGGTGAGGGGTCTCTTGTGGGGGAGAGGCTTAAGGGAAGAAGGGATGGTGATTAGAGAACAGCGTGCTAAGCTAAGTAGCCACCTGGAGAAAGTTCCCCAGGAGGCGCTGTTGCTAAGTGTTACTGAATTGGTGCCGACTCACAGTGACCTTGCATAGGGTTTCTGAGGAGTGGCTGGTGGGTTAGCAGCTAGCAGGCCAGTGCTTATCCAACAGTGCCACACCAGGAGTCTCCAAGGAGGTGGGAGGATGAGAAGCTGGATCCTTGAGCGAGTCTCCTTACATCCCTCTTCTCTGCAGTGAAATCCGCATCCAGGGCAGAAGTGGTTCTGGGCGCCCTTGGAGGTGCTGGTACTATGGCCCTGCTCTCCCTGTGTCTGTGTCTTGGCGTCTTTTTCATGTAAGTCTTGGTCCTGGGGAGGGACAGGGAGGTATGCAGCATGGAGTGGGCAGAGAGATCAGGGCAGCCCTGATTGAAAAAAAAAAAAAAAAAAAGACCTTAGCGGATCCAGAATGTCTTTTTTTTGTTTGTTTATTTTACTGAGATCCAATTCCCTGGCACAAAATCAAACCATTTACAGTGTGCATTTCATTCCATGGCTTTTAGGATATCCACAGAGTTGTGTAACTTTTACCACCATCAGTTCTAGAACCTTTTTCATTGGCCTCAAAATATAAAACGGAAAAACAACGCTGCCCCCTATAACAATCCCTTTCCTGTGCTCCCATCCCTTGAAGCCCTAGACAATTAGCACTCATTGATTTCTGTCTCTGCGGATGTATCGATTCTGGAAATGTCATGTCAGTGGAATCCCTCAACACGTGCCTTTTTCTCTTAGCATGGTGATGTCCAGGTTCAACTACGTTGTACTATATATCAGGGCTTCAATTCTTTGTATTTTTGAGCACATTTCCATTGTATGGATATGTGACATTCTGTTTATCCATTTATCTGTAGATGGACATTCACATCACTTTCAATTTTGAGCTATTGTGACTAATGCTGTTATAATGATTGTGCACATAAGAGTGTACAAAGTCTTCAGAGATGGAAATACAGCTACCTTGGCCAGGAGTGTGGTCTTTTTCAGGTCCTGGTCAACCAGGAAGGAAGAGAACTCACTCCATGTGAGCCTGGGCTCCAAGATGAGTTCTAGGGCTTGGTCCTTCAGTTACCATTCTCGGTATATTACAGGGAGCAGGGGTAGCCTCCCTACCTGTGCCCTAGCCATCCCAGCTGCAAACTGCTGGTCTCTTCCCTTAGCGTCAAAGTCCGCAGGAAGCAAGCAGCAGAGAAGTCAGGCATCACTGATGATGAAGATCCTGTCATGGATACAGTCACCTGGGTGAGTGACATGGGTGTCTTTTGATGTCTATCCATGAGGTGAGTTCAGAGCAAGTTGTTTTATGTTTCAACCAATCTACTTCTCTTGCTGGTGTTCCATCTTCCTGTTGGCACTGTTGTCTCTCTAGTTACCTGAGCGGACACCTGAGAGTAATCCTCCTTTCTGCTCACCCTTCATCTCCCAAAGCCAACAAAATACTCCAATCCTCTTCCAACCTAAGTAAGGCTAATGCTGACCCTCTGCTCCCCATCTGGAACTGGCCCTAATGAAAGATGGTGACCACTGAGTTGTAGCCCACTGTGCTCACCTCACCTTCTCTATCTCTTATCCCCACATGGGCTGCCAGAATCATCTCCTCAAAATTATTGCTTTCTAGCCAGTCTCGAGTTTCATGGTTGTTTTGCTCCTGTTGCTTGGAGAATAAAGACCACATTTCTTGGCTCGATGTTGGAGTCTCACCTGATGATCTCTACAACCTGTACATGTAATGTACTTGCTGTACATTAACCAGGCTTATGTCTTTGGCCTTTCAGCCATGTGACCCCTTGGCTTCTGCCTCACTCCATGGGCCTGAAGCCCACAGCTGCTCTGTCTCTCCATGCCACCATGTCTGCCATCATTTTTCTCATGATCCACTCACTCTCTTCCTTCCTGATGGTCCTGGGATCTTCTGTTCCTGCTTCTGAGATGACTCCTTTTAAACCTAGCTGGATGGCAAAACTAACCAATCCCAGCCTTAGAGTCCTGTATACCTTATTTGCATGGTCTCATCCAATCACTTGGTGGGAATTAAGACACTGGATAGACAAGCCATATCAAGTCAATTCAAGGTACCATGTTTATGTTAGGTACAATCCATAGTGGAGACTGTGATCTTTGATCTTTGTTGTCTTTCAAGTCCTCAGTAAGCAAGATTGTATCGTCTGTGCATATTACAGGTTGTTAATGAGTCTTCCTCCAATCTGGATGCCACACATGCTCTTCTTCATATAATTCAACTTCTTGGATTATTTGCATTTGATAGTGAACAGTACAGTATTTCCAAGACTAAATCTTTACAGGAGCAGAAAGCCTCATCTTTCTCCTCAGGAGCGGCTGGTGGAGTCACTGAGCTGGTGGTTAGCAGTTCAGTGCTTAGCTTATCCTTCTGCCTTTCCAAAGGATAGTATTCTCCATACACTTTTCTTGGATTTGCTTTTGCACTCTGCCTTATCTTGTGAAGACACAGCCATGTTGCTGCCCCAAACTGTAGTTCATTCATTTTCCCCACTGTCCAATGTTTCATTGCATGATTACATCACAGAGTGTTTACCTAAACTTGCACTGATGAATGCTCCTGTTGTTTACAGATTTTGTGATTATGAACAATCTTATTCAAGTCTCATTGTATTGTTGCTGTAGAGTCGAGTCTAACTCATGGTCACCCCATGTGTAAAGAGTAGAACTGCTCCATAGGGGTTTTCAAGGAGCAGATCACCTTGAAGCAGAGTTCCAGACCTGTCTTCCAAGGTGTTCTAGGTGGGTTTGAACCACTCACTTCTTCACTAGTAGTTGAGTGCTTAACAGATTGCACTGCTCAAGGACTCTTTGTTACTGTTATAAATGCTCTCCTTTCTGATTGTTTATTGATGGTATGTAGAAATTAGAATATTTTAATAGATCTTTTCCAATGGGTGGGGGAAATCACAAATTCATTTTGAGTGTCATCAGAATCCTTTTATTATGGCTACTGAGGAATTCCTACATCTTCTTCAGAAACCAAAAGAATCCTTGTAGCTTACTGATTAAACTCTCCATTGCTGATTTCTGGACCCTCCAGCTGCTCTGCAGGTGAAAGCCATAGCAGTCTGCTTCTGGAAAGATTTACAGCCTTGGAAACCACATGACCCAATTCTGCTCTGTTCTATAGGGTTGCTCTGAAACAAATTTGATATTGGATTTTCATTTATAAGCTTAATGGACTGTTCTTTTCCTGTAATTTCCTTCAGGAATTAGCTTACCCTTTTAAGCTTCAGGTAGTTGGTTTGGTTGTTAAGTGCCGTCGAGTCAGTTTTGACCCATAGCAACCTTGTATGGAGTTTCCAAAGAACAGCTGGTGAGCTTGAACTCTGCTGACCTTGCAGTTCAAAAGGATTTACAGTCTGACTCATTAGCCCACAGCGCCAAGCTTCAGGTACTTAACTAGACAAGAAATATCTGGCCTCATGCAAATGCTGAAGGTGGATATTTTTTTCCCTAAGAGAACTCAGATATCAACAAATGACTCACTCTCCTAAACAATCCCATTATGGGGAACTAAGCACCCACAAATCTTATCTTGTAAGGGAAGTTTGTGTAACACCTCATTGTGTGTAATATGTGATTACAAATTTAACTTTAACCAGTTCCTTCTTATTCTTCACCATATACTAAAATAGAGCTTCTCTTTTTTTCTGCCCTGTATTGATGGGGTTACATCCTTCCACTGGGTCCCCCTAATGTCTTTACAATAACAAATTATCTTCTGAGTGGCATTCACCTATTTTGGGGGGTGTTAACTGTGTGGCTGCTAGGAATGGTCTTTGTTCTCTCAGAAGATGCAGCAAAAAAAAAAAATTTTTTTTTAAATCAAATGGTTACGGTTTTTGTTTTTTTTTTTAAACTTTATCTTAATGGTTACAGTTTTAATCAATCATATATGCTTCCAACTTTCTTCCAAGGTGACTCTGGGTGAATTGGAATCTTCAGTTAGCAGTTGAGTGATTCCTATTTCTAGATGTTGTGTTGTGGTTGTAGGGTGCCATCAAGCTAGTTCTGGCTCATAGTTACCCCATGTGATAGAGCTAAACTTCCCCATAAAGTTGTCTTGGTTGTAAACTTTGCAGAAACAGATCCTCAAACCTTTCTCCCGAGGGGCCGCTGGGTGAATTTGATAATCAGCTAAGTGTTGAACCATTTAAACCACAGAGACACTTCTTATTTCAAGATAAATCTTATTAATTGTCTACTAGCTTCAAAGAAACAGCTTTGGGGATTGTTGAATTTCTTCCTTTATCTTTGTTTCTTTTGCTCTCATGTTTTAATTCTCATTTTATTAGCACTTTACTTCTTGGTTTGTTTATTGGTTTATTCTGATTTCCTTTGGCTAATCTTTGAAGCAGGATACTTATCAATGCACAGAACTCTTCTTGCTTTAGAAAAATAGTTATGCATAAATTTCTCTAAGAACATTGTTTTACTCCATCCCACATATTTTGATGTGTCATTTTAATATCATTCAGTTCTTAATGTTGTTAAACCCCCATAATTTTTTAAATCTTATGTTGTTTAGGATTTTTTTTTTTTAAACTTCAAAATGAATGAGATTTTAAAACCTTTTCATAATTAAATTCTAACTCAATTGTATTTTGGTCATGTTTTGGTTGTCAAGTGTCATTGAGTTGGTTCAATTCATAATGATCCTGTATAGCATTTCTGAGGAGCAGCTGGTGGGTTTGAACCACCAACCTTGTGGTTAGTAGTCCAGTGCTTACCCTACAGCACCCTACCAGGAGTCCACATAATCTGGTCATAATACACAATTTTTATGATACTTATATTTCCTCAGAAACCCTATACAGGGTCACTATGGATCAGAACTGACTAGGCGGCACTTAACAACCACAACAAATTTCAGATAGGTTGAGACTTGATCTGTGTTCCAAAAAGTGATTAATTTTTGTGAATATTTCCTGTGTGTTGATGAAGAAAGTATATTTTGCATTTACTAGATGTAAGGTTTATATACAATTAACAGGCCAGTGTGTTGTTTTATTGTTCAAATTTATATCTTTACTGATAGGCTTCCTGGCCTATCAATATTTGAAAGAGATGTGCTAAACTCTTACACTATTATAGTGTATTTGCCACTTTCTCTGTGTTATTCTATAAATTATTTTTCTAATCTTTGACATACTTTTAAGTTACAACTACATGTTTTAGAAATCGATACCTTCTCAAGGAACGGAACTCACCACACATAGTGATCTTCTCTGTCATTACTGATAACTCTTTGTTTTAAAGTCTATTTGCTAGAATGCCAAGTGTAGCTTTGCTACACTGTAGATAGGCACCCAGGTACATTAACCATCTAAGCAACCCTGGTGGCATAGTGGTTAAGCTCTCAACTGATAGCCTGAAGGTTGGCAGTTCAAGCCTACCAGCTGATCTGTAAGAAGGAGCAGTTAGTGAGCTTGAACTGCAGCCTTGCAGTTCAAACGACTTTATGGTCTGACCCATTAGCCCACAGTGCCACACCAGGACTCCTATGTAAAGATTGTTGTTGCTAGGTGCCATTGAGTCCGTACCAACCCATAGCAACCTTTTATGCACAGCAGAACAAAACCCTGCCCGATCCTGGACCAACCTCACTACTGTTGCCACGCTTGAGTCCATTGATGCTGCTACTTGGTCAATCCATCTTGTTGGGGTCTTCCTCTTCTTCTCTGACCCTCCATCTTACCAAACATGATATCCTTCTCCAGTGATTGGTCTTTCCTGACAATATGTCTGAAGTATGAGAGACGAAATCTGGCCATCCTGGCCTCCAAGGAGTACTCTGGCTGCACTTCTTCCAACACAGATCTGTTGGTTCTTTTGGCAGCCCATGGCACTTTCAATATTCTCCTCCAACACCATAACTCAAAGGCATCAATTCTTCTACGGTCTTCCTTATTCACTGTCCAGCTTTCACATGCATATAGGAAATTCTGTCACATGGGGCCACTAAGAGTTGGGAGTGGACAACAGCAGATGTCTAAGGACCCCTGGTGGTGAAAGTGTGACAGTGGTTTGTGATCAGCTAGTAACTTAAAGGTTAATAGTTCAAACCCATATAGCAGTTTCCTGAAGGAAAAGCCTGGACATCTGCCCCCATAGAGATGGTTGTTAAGTGCGGTCGAGTCGATTCCTACTCATAGTGACCCTACATAGGCTTTCTGAGGAGCAACTGGTGAATTTGAACTGCCGACTTTGCGGTTCAAATGGCCTTGCAGTCCAGTGCTTAACCTGCAGTGCAACACCAAGACTCCAAGAAAAGTATGGAACTCAGTTCTACTCTGTACGACGTCACCGTATATGAAAATTGTTTTAATGGCAAACAGTAACAGCAGCAAATGACTGATATTTGCCCACTATTTCTTTTTAACAATTTTCATGTTCTATTCAGCAGTTCAATAAGTGGCTCACCCACCCAGCTACACCTCTGGAGAAAGATGAGGCTGTCCATTCCCATGAAGATTTACAGTCTTGGGAATCCAAGAAGCAGTTCTACTTAATCCTTTAGGGTCACTATGTGTCAGAATTAACTTGATAGCAGTGGCTTGGTTTTGGGTTTATGTTTTAGCAGTGATTTTTGTAAACCAGTCTATAAGTTGTTGTTGTTGTTGTTAAGTGCCGTCGAGTCAGTTCCGACCCATAGCGACCCTGAACAGGGTCTCCGAGGCTGTAAATCTTTACGGGAGCAGAAAGCCTCATCGTTTTCCCACAGAGCAGCTGGTAGTTTCGAACTGCTGACCTTGCGGTTCGCAGCCTGATTCATAACCATTACGCTACCAGAGCTCCTTAGTAGGTTGCCAAAACTCTAGTTTGACAGTATGTCTCTTACTGTTCAGTTTATTCTATTTGTGTTTGTTGATAGATGTAAATTTGTTCCTACCATTTTATCTTTTACTTTCACTTGGTTTCACGTTTCCAATATTTAATTTTTCTCATTTCTTATTTAAAAATTGACATCTCTATGTTGTTGTTAATAAGTAAGACCATAGAAGAATTGATTCGTTTGCATGGTGGTGCTGGAGAAGAATATTAAAGGTGCTATGAACTGCTAGAAAAACAAACAAATCTGTGTTAGAAGTACAACCAGAATGCTCCTTAAAAGTCCAGATGGCCAGATTTCACATATTATCATGAGGGACAAGTCACTGGAGAAGGAAACCATGCCTGGTAAAGTGAAGGGTCAGTGAAAAATAAGGAGACCCCCAGTGAGATGGATTGGCACTGTGGCAGCAGCTATGGGCTCAAGTGTAGCAGCAATTATGAAGATGGTGCAGGTCTGGGCGATGTTTCATTGAGTTGTATGTAATAGGGTAGCTATTGGTCAGAATCGCCTCAATGGCACCTAACAACAACAACCTGTTGAGTCAGTTCCAAACTAATAGTGACCCCACATACAACAGAATAGGCCTGTTGTCAAAGCCCATTGTTGTACTTACTGTGTCGATCCATGTCATTGAGGGTCTTCCTCTTTTTCTCTGACCCCTTACCTCACCAAGCATGATGTCCTTCTCCACGGATGACTCCCTTCTGATCACATGATCAAAGTAAGTGTGACTAAGTCTCACCATCCTGGCTTCTAAGGAACACGCTAGCTGTACTCTTCCAAGGCAGATTTGTTTGTTCTTTAGGTAGTTTATGGCATAGTCAATAGTCTTAACCACCGTAATTCAAAATCATCAATTCTTCTTTATTCATTGTTCACATGAGATGAGTGAAAATACCAAGGCTCAGGTCAGGCATACCTCAGTCCTTAAGGTGACATTGTTGCTTTATAAGAGTTTAAAGTGGTCATTTGCAATAGATTTGCCCAATACATGTCCTTTGATTTCTTGACTATTGTTTCTATGGCTGTATATTGTGGATCCAAGTAAAATGAAATCTTTGACAACTTTAATCTTCTTCTCTGTTTATCATTATATTGGTCATTGGTCCAGTTGTGAGGATTTTTGTTTTTATGTTGAAGACTTTGATCTTCATCAGTAAATGCTTCAAGTCCTCTACACTTTCAGCCAGCTAGGTTGTGTCAACTGTATATCATAGGTTGGTAATAAGTCGTCCTCCAATCCTGAAGCCACGATCTTCTTTATATATAGTCCAGCTTCTCAGATTATTTTCTCAACAAACAGATTGAATAAATATGGTGAAGAGATACAACCCTGATAAACACTGTCCCGGATTTAAAATAATTTCACATTCCCTCGTTCTGGTCAAACAACTTCCCGTTGGTCTGTGTCCAGCCAGGTTCTTTACGAGCACAATTTACTGTTCTGGAATTTCCATTCTTTACAATGCTGTCCATAATTTGTCATGATTCACACAGTCAAATGCCTTTGCATAGTCAATAAAACACAGGTAGACATCTTTCTGGAATTCTTTGTTTTCAGCCAAGATCCATCTGACATGAGCAAAGGTATCCTTTGCTCCACATCTTCTAAATTCAGCTTGAATTTTTGGCAGTTTCCTGCTGATATATTGCTGAAGCCCTTTTAAAATGATCTTCATCATAATGGATATCATTGCTGATGTCAGATGGATCTTGGCTGAAAGCAGAGGTTACAAGAAAGATGTTTACCTATGCTTTATTGACTGCGTAAAGGCTTTCTATTGTGTGGATCATGACACGCTATGGACAACATTGAGAAGTATGAGTATTCTGGAACACTCAATTGTGCTCATGAGGAACCTGTACATAGATCAACAGGCAATTGTTCAAATAGAACTCAGGTACACCGAATGGTTTAAAATTAGGTAAGGTGTGCATCAGGGTTGTATTCTTTCACCATACTTATTTAATATGTATGCTGAGCAAATAATCTGAGAAGAAAATTATATGAAGAAAAATATGGCATCAGGATTGGAGGAAGACTCATCAACAACCGGTGATATGCAGACGATACAACCTTACTTGCTGAATGTGAAAAGGACTTAAAATATTTACTGATGAAGATCAAAGACCACAACCTTCGGTATGGGTTGCATCTCAATGTAAAGAAAACAAAAATTCTCACCACTGGGCCAATAAATAACATACATATAAGTGGTGAAAAGATTGACGTTGTCAAAGACTTCATTTTGCTTGGACCAACCATCAACACGCACGGAAGCAGCAGTCAAGAAACCAAACAATGTATTGCATTAGGCAAATCTGCTGCACAAGACCTTTTAAAGTGTTGAAGAGCAAAGATGTCAGTTTGAAGACTAAGGTGTGCCTGAGCCCAAGCCATGGTATTTTCAATAACCTCATGTGTGTGAAAGTTGGACAGTGAATAGGAAGACCATAGCAGAATTGATGCATTTGAGTTATGGTGTTGGAGGAGAATATTGAAAGTACAATGGACTGCCAAAAGAACAAACAGTTCAGTGCTGGAATAAGTACAGCCAGAGTGCTCCTCGGAAGCCAGGATGACCAGACTTTGTCTCTCATGCTTTGGATATATTATCAGGAGGGACCAGTCACTGTTGGTAAAGTAGAGGGTCGAAGTGAAAGAGGAAGACCCCCTAATGAGATGGATTGGCACAGGGGCAACAGTGATGGGCTCAGGCATAGCAGTGATTGTGAGGTTGACCCAGGGTCAGGCAGTATTTTGTTCTGTTGTGCATAAGGCTGTTATTAGTCAGTACCAACTTGATGGCACCTAACAACAACATCAAAACTTCACTTGCATGTAATAGTAATGATATTATTAGATAATGTCTACATTCTGTTGGATCATCTTTCTTTGGAATGCGCACAAATAGGAATCCCTTCAAGGTTAGTTGATGAGGTAGCTGCTTTCCAATTTTCTTGGCATAGATGAGTGAGGCCTTCCAGTGTTGCCTCCTTTGGTTGAACCATCTCAATTGGTATTCCATCTGTCAATGCCTAGAACCTTGTTTTTCTACAATGACTTCAGTGCATCCTGGATTTCTTCTCTCAGAATGAACAACTCTTGATAATATGCTAATTCCTGAAATTGTTGAATGGTGACCAATTCTTTTGGGTATAGTGGTTCTGTGTATTCCTTTCCCCTCCCCCTTTGTTTTGTTGCTTCCTTCATCCTTTGATATTTGCCCATAAAATCCTTCAATTTTTCAATTTGAGGTTTAGATTGTTTTTTTTCTTCAGTTCTTTCAGCTTGAAAAATGTCAACTGTGCTCTCCCCTTTTGGTTTTCTAGCTCCAGGTCTCTACCTTTCACCTAACAAAACAGAAGTTTAGTGTGCTTTTGTGTCTCATTTGTACTGTTTGTGTATATTAATCTAATAAAAATGTGTAAATAGTATTGCAGGTTTTAAAATGAATGAGTGAATAGTTGAGTCTGCAGAAAACATGTGGAGAATAGAATAATGAATAAGGTAAAGCCCTTATTCTCCCTTGGAGAACATTCTCTGACTCTCTTTTCTCTTTTTTTACTCAGAGTCACAGGCAAAAGTCATGGCCAGAGAACCCCCCTGAGCAAGAATCCCCCTCTGGGGTTACTCCTCCCTTGCCAGAGGAACTGGAGCTCCATTATGCCTCCCTTACCTTTCATGGAACAATGCCACAGGAGCCTAAAGACCAGACAGCCACCAGCACCACTGAATACTCAGAGATCAAGACAAGCAAATGAGGATTCATTCAGAGCCCAGCCCTGGCTTGAGAAATCACAGCCTGTCTGGGAGAAAGGAAAAGTCAGGGTTTTAATTGATGAAAAACTCGGGCACCCTAAATATAATCTTAATGGGACCGCTGTATGAGGACATCGTGGTTGGTAGTGTGGTGGTGAAGGCAAGGGAGGTCTTTGATGAGATGAATTGACACCATGGTCTGAACAATGGACTCAACCATAGCAACCATCGGAAGGTGGTGTAGAACCAGGCAACCTTTCATTCTCTCATACACACAATCACCAATAGTTACAGCTGACTTGACCGCAACTAACCACAACCATAGATGTATGAGTGTCCCCAGGTGAAGCATAAAGGATTTAGGTGATGGAGGAGTTAGATTCAGGCACAAATCTCGGCTCCACCACTTTCTAAGGCATTGGTATCAAGAATTCACTTCATCATTCTGTGCCTTGGATCCCTCTCTGTAAACCAGAGATTATGTGTACTACCTCAAAAGTTATTGTGAATAAAAAGTACTTTAAACAAAGGCTATTGTGAAGATTAAAGAAGTTACCATACGAAGGTCAACTAACAGAGGTTCTGCAACACAGTCCTTGAGTAGAAAGTTCCACCAGCAAGTTCTTCTGAAGTTGGAGATGACCAAGCACAAAGAACAGGGCAACAACATATTGGTGACGGTCCCTTTGTCAGAACACTTCAAAGCCTCTTCAGCTTGGCATTCTGTTCAGGATATGGCATCTCATTACCTCCCAGGGTCATCTACCTCTGTCAATCCTTCCAGAATATTCTCTCACTGTTTGGCTTCTAGTTCCTCCCCCATTTCAAATATGGGTTCCAAAAGGGATCTTTCCAAAATCTAGAGAGTTGGCCCTGACTCTCTTCTGTCCAAAGCCCAGTCATGGCTTCTTGGCCTTAGACAAGCATCTCCCCTCGCCCATTTAAAGTCCTTCATGACCTATCTGCTATCTCCTCCTCTATCCTTACCTCTTGGTACATCCTTCCTTAAACTTCCACGTGGGCTCATGCTTCACTGGCTTTGCACTTTGAGATCCTCCTCAGGAGGTCAGGCCACCTTTCTTTCACCTGCCTTACACCATCTTGTTCTTCAAACCTGTCTGAGTTCATAGGAAGACTTGAATTGAGAAGGTAGACTGAAGAAAGAGTTCATCCTCTTCCTCCTCTAAAGCTGAGCTAGTGGAAAGGAAAGAAAAGCACTTAAGAAAAGTCAAAAGTTCTCCAGCAGGACCTAAACCTAGAAAAACTACCATATTACTACAACCATTGTAGAAAGCAGTCATCAGGAAATCAGTGAATGATCCCCATACTGGTAGAACACTAGTCTCGAACATCCATTCCTCAAATCCCATTTTAGTACCAAAGCCAGAAGTCCAGTCACGACATCACTTTGGTAGCCACAGAGTCTTGTCAAGTCTCAAACTGAAAACAATAGAACCTTTGTTGATAAAATGAATAGGAAAAAAAACTCCCACTTCATTTTAAAGACTATAGACAACCTAAAAAAAATTGGGGGACTGCCAGGATAAAAATTTGGGGAAAGTATCTAACCATACAGTCACCTTTTGGAGATAAATTCAACTTCAGCCATCCCTTCTTTTATTTTTCCTTTTCTTTTATTATTATTGTTATTTTTACGTTTTTATTGTGAATTATGTGATCTTTTACATGGGAGAACATTAGCTTTACATTCATCCTATTGTCTGTTGTTTCACTGCCATGGTTACAATCCCCTCCACACATCATCAAACAACCAAAGGGTATACCCTGCAAGCCTGCCCCCTGGTTGTCAGCGCACAGCCCCTCACACACTGGGTCCAGAGTCCCCAGCTGCTCCATCTCTTCATGTCATTGTCTCTGCCTCCATCTCTGGTGTTACTGCTTCTCTGGATAGGGTCCCACACTCTGCTCTTCTCCCTTGATGGTGCCAGGTACCTCTGCCCCTGGACTGCAAAATCAACCATTCCTCTCCTTTTGTTACAAAATGTCTACCTTTACACTTCCAACCCTCACAATCAGTCCTGATAGCAATTATTCACTATTGAGCCACAAGAGTTGTATCCCATCTCTTTCCATCAGCTCCTTCCAGACAGGTTGGAAACCACTCAGTGGAGATTCTACCTGCCTGGCACCCTCTGGAACTAGGCTCCCTCTTGAAAGCTTGTAAGACAGTCACTTCTTGCCTTTGTACCCATTTTGGGTAGCAATGTCTAAGTGTCCCATCCCTGTCAACCTGTGTACTGAGGGGGTGGAAATGATCCTCACTGTAAAGATTTGTTCCCTCTTGTGAGCTACTACATCCATAAGTGTAGGTCAAGTTCATCAAATTGTAATGGATTACTCTTTTTTCCCTCTTCTTTCTTCTAGTAGAGTTCTGATCATCCAGCCATTGAAGCCAGGTCAAGTGGGTACAATCTGCAAGTAAGGGTGTTCTTGTGCATCTCCCCTCACTTCCTATCAGCTGGACGCTTCACTCTCCACTCTAGTCCTCTATGGCCATGTCCCTGTCTCTGGGTCTAGGAGTCCCCAGGTCTTGCCACACTGCTGGCCAACTAGGTCTCAACCCGGGTTGATAGGAGTCTATTGAACATGGTTGGACTTAGCTCACAACTTCATTGCTGTTTTTCCCCCACTTCCTCTTACTGGTGACCAACATGGTCACCAGCAAGACCATATGCCTGATTGTTTATTCCCCTTGAGTCTTAGTCATGAAAGGGGGCTTGCCCTGAGGGGACCTGACCACTTGCCTCAATCAGCCATCCCTTCTTGTGTCTGGGCTGAGGACCAGAATAAATAATTTTCTTTCAGGTAGATCCTGACTCCCAGATATTCCTGCCCCAGAAATCATAAGACTTTAAAGTGAACAGAGAGGAACCAAAACTCTACTCATTTCCTAGGGGCCAGAGGGTAGAACTCTGGGGGAGGCAGCATCACAGGGAGGAGTTAAATGGGAGGTATCGCCTTGCAAGTGGAGGGAGTCCTGGTGTGGCACTGTAGGATAAGCACTCAGCCATAAAGGTTGGTTTGAACTGCAAGGTCAATGGCTCAAGCTCACCAGCTGCTCCTCAGATGCCCTATGTTGTTCTTAGGTGCCATTGAGTCAGTACTGACTTATAGAACGAAACAGAACAGAACACTGCCTGATCCTGGGCCAACCTCACAATTGTTGCCATGCTTGAGCCCATTGATCCTGCCACTTTGTCAATCCATCTCGCTGTGGGTCTTCCTCTTTTTCTCGGAGCCTCCACCCCACCAAACATGATATCCTTCTCCAGCAATTGGTCCCTCTACAGGGTTGCTATGAGTTGGAACCAACCTGATGACACTTAACAACTCTGATAGGTTATCACTAGACCTGGAGTCATAGCCTCTTACTTCCCTGGTAATTGTTTAGGTGAAGGGGAAGGTGTTAGGGATTGCATTGTGTATCCCCCGAATGTTTTCTCTATCTTAACCCCCTGTTGTTGTTAGGTGCCATCGAGTTGGTACTGACTCCAAGTGACTCTATGCACAACAGAAGGAAACACTGCCTGGTCCTGCACCTTCCTAACGATCGTTGCTACATTTGAGCCCACTGCTGCTGCCACTGTGCCAATCCATCTCATTGGGGGTCTTCCTCTTTTTCACTGGTCCTCCATTATACCAAACATGATATAATCCCATCTGGGAATAGAGTTTTCTTGTTATGTTAGAGGTCTTACAAATGGAGGGTGTTTGTGAAGTTCATGCATTTTTGACATGTAAAAGAAACTTAGACAAAGAGAGGAATCACAGAGGGGGAGATTCAGGGTATACAACTGAGGATCTGATGGTGAAATGAGACAAGGACTTGCTCCCAGAGCCAACAGGCACATAACTCTTTCCCCTAGAGTTGACACCCTGAATTTGGAATCCTAGTCTCCTAAATTGTGAGGGAGTGAATTTCTGTAACCACCCACTGTGGTTATGTCTGATACAGCAGGATGAAGTACCTGAGAACTGAAGCTCAGGATTGAGAAGGGTTTGGGGCAGCCCAATCCACAGTGAGTCTCTAGCTGTCCGCTCCTCCGGCTTCTGTGGCTGCCCTGACCCCAAGTTGGAAGCAGTAGATCAGGTAATGTCAGGGGTCCCCCACCGAGTTCACAGCCATCTCTGCTGTGGCTGTGAAGATGTAAGATTGATGGCTGTCTGTCCTGAGAGCAGTGGTAGGGTGGGAAAGGAAACCTGGGAAGACTGGAGCAGGAAGATGGGAGAGGGTGCGGGGGGACCCCTGATAAGGGTGCAGCCCAGCAAGAGCCTGGAGATGGAATTGAAAAACCAAGCCTCCCCAAGTCAAGCGGGAAGCTTCGGGATCTCACACCTTCTTGCAGCCTCAGAACCCCTGGTAACCCTTAACAACCAAGACTGCTTAAGTATCATCCTATATATTAGAGCGAGATGCTGCTTGGTCTTCCGTCATCCTCACAACTGATGGTACATTTGAGACAATTGTTGCAGCCACTATGCCAATCCATCTCATTGGCTGTCTTCTTTCTTGCTGACCCTCTAGTTTACCAAGCATGATGTTCTTCTCCAGGGGCTGGCCCCTCTTCATAACTTGTCCAAGATACCCGGGAGAAGTTTTGCCATGGTTGTTTCTAACGAGCATTCTGTCTGTACTTCTTCCAAGACAGATTTGGTTAACGTAGCCACCATTTACTGAGCACTTTATCACCAGTTTCGTCTATTCCAGGAGGAAACGGAAGACAAGAAAGGTTAAGTCAATGACCCAGGCTTACCAGGTCAGCCTCCAAAGCCCGAGGTCAGGGACCCAGCTGCTCCTTGACCATCACAAGAAACACAGAAGAGTCAGCTGATGTGGAAGAAGGTAGGGTTGAGGGCGGGGCGGTGCAGCTGAGTCACCTAGAATCAGTTAACCACATCTGTCTAAGCCCTGGTTTACTGGCTGCAGCTCCGTGACGCAGGTCGCAGCAGGGATGGTGCATGGCACATGCGCAACTCAGCGCCTGTTACTGGAGCTTTTGATAAGCTGTCTAGGTGATGACTGCAAAGGGGGCGTGGCTATGAAGCGGTGATTTTGATCCTCCTCCTACAGGCAGTTCAGACTGACCAGCTGCTCCTCAGACCCTATACAGGGTCACTATGGGTTGGTATCGACTCGATGGCACTTTAACAACAACCACAGGCAGATAGGACACACCCGGCAGGTTGTAAGTGCATAAGAAATGGGAGGATCATCATGCGCGACCCTGGATCCCAGCAGAGGCACTGGGCAAGCAGCTGCTCTCAAATCCCCTCACTCAAGAATCCAGGGTTAACGCCTCGTCCTGAGACCTAGGACTCTGGTCCCCAGCCTCCTCCTCCCTCAGACCCAAAAGTCCTGACCCCCAGCCACCTCATCCTTCAGACCCGAGAGTCCAGACCCCCAGGCGCTCCTTCCTAAGACCCAGGAGTCCAGAAACCAGGCCCCTCTTCCCTCAGACCCAGGAGTTTAAGGGGTCCCTTGTCCCTCGCTCTGGCCCAGATGTTGGGGTCCCAGCTTCTATAAGGTTATAGGAACTGGCTCTTCCCCTCCCATCACCACAGAAGTGGGACAAAGAGAACCCGGATTTATTTGCAGCTCTCAAGGGCAGTCTTCACCCTCCAGAGAAGTGAGGACCCCGGCCGGAGCACCCCAAGCGCTAGAAGTCAGGCAGAACAGCAGCTGGAGGAGGCTGGGCCCGGGCTCGTGGTGCCCCTTCGTCCAGCCCTCGGCGGCCCTTGCCGATGGCCAGGCGCGGCCGGCCCCGGTCCAGCCCGTCCAGCAGCGCGCAGGCCTGGCAGAGGGAGCGGCTGGCCAGCGCCCCGCAGCGGGTGCAGGCGCCGGGGGGCGGGGGCTGCGCGGTGGGGGCCAGTGCCAGGTGCTCGGCCGAGTGCACGAGGTCCAGCACCACCGATGGCCGTGCAGCCTCCAGGCTCTTGAGCAGGTCTCGGGCGTGGGCGCGGAAGGCCTCGGGCGCGTACACACACTCCTCCGAAAAGTAGTCCAGGCGGCGAAAGTGCGCGTACAGCACCACCTCCTTCTGCGAGGCCAGCTGTAGGGGGCGGCAGCGGGGCAGCGCGCCCCCCTCGCCCGGAGAGCCCAGGCCTCCGCCGCGTGCCAGCCGCCCGGTATCGCCCCGCAGGAAGTTCATGAGCACGGTCTCCGCCATGTCGTCAGCGTTGTGGCCTGGGGGGAGAGACGGATCACATAAGGTGGATGCATCAGGAGGTCATGGAGACCCCTGCTTACTCCTCCCCCCCTACGCACACCAGGGCGCATAGAGATGGTGAGGAGGTGGGGGGCATGGGTCATGGAGACCTCCTTCCTTTCTCACCTCACTGTACCCAGCACTTGGGGTGACCAGGACACAAGAGGGGGCACAGGTGGGATGATGGAGGCGTGTCATGGAGATCTCTGGGCATCTGAGGCAGCCAACACATAGATAGGGAGCAGGTGGTTGGTGGGGGGCATGGGTCATACATGGAGAACCCCTTTCTATGCACCCCCACCTGGGACAATCAGGACACACAGACGGAGTACAGGTGGAGATGAGTGGGGGTTGGAGTCATGGAGATCCTCTAGCACGTAGGGAAACCAAGTGGAGGCTGGAGGTGAACTGGGCTTCTCGACATGAGACCAGAGCACGCACACAGCCTCCCATGGATCATCTTGGGGGCTGCCCACCTACTGCAGACCAAATCCTGAGCTAGGTGTCCTTTCATGTAGACAGTAGATGTGCTTTGTGCTGAAAATACCATTGTGGTCTCAGTTCAAACTATAGTTCAAACTGTGCATAAGTCAAAATGGTCTTTAATGGAGATGCTCAAGAGGGCTTTGGAGTTGAGTGCCCAAGAGTATGTGGCTCAGAGAGATTTAAAAAGATCGGGAAGTGAGTTATTTACACACTGGTGGTGGCTGTGTGCCATCATGTCAGTTACAATTCCTAGTGACCCTATCTGGGGTTTTTGAGAGAGTAAATATTTACGGGAGCAGAAAGCTTCATCCTTCTCTCGCAGAACAGCTGGTAGACTCGAACTTCTGACCTTTCAGTTAGCACCCCACCGAGTAACCCACTACCCTACCTGGGCTCCATGTACACCCCAGTTCCATATATTTAAGTTAAACCTACACTTAACTCTGAATCTTGTCATTGTACAGTTGAGCCCACATAATGAAATACTGCTCTTCTTAAAACACAACAGCCTGACGGCTTTCAAGTTGATTCGGACTTACAATGACCCTATAGGACACTACAGAGCCCTGGTGTGGCACTGTGAGTTAATGCGCCAGACTGCAAAGTCCTTTGAACTGCTAGGTTGGCAGTTCAAGCTCACCAGCTGCTCCTTGGAAACCCTATCCAGGGTCGCTATGGGTCGGAAGTGACTCAATGGCGCTTAACAACAACATAGGATACTATAGAGTACCACTGCCCCATATGGTTTCCAAGGCTGTAAATCTTTACAGAAGCAAATGGTCTCATCTTTCTCTCAAGGAGCAGGCGGTGGATTTGAACCACTGCCTTTTTGCCTTGCAGTCCAATGCTTAACCCATTGGTCTACCAGGGCTCCTCTTACTGGTCTTCTTCAAGTTTCTCAGCTTGATGATCTATCCCCTCATTAGGGCCTTGGCACAGCTGTTTCCTCTTCCCAGGATGCTCTCTTCCTCATGGCGACCCCATGTGTGCCGAGTAGAACTTTGGTCCATTGGGTTTTCAATGGCAGTAGCCTTTCAGAAGCAGGTTTCCTGGAGCCTCAGAAGGTTGGGTGGGTTCAAACTGCCAACTGTTGGTTAGAGTGTGTTTTTCGCATATAACGCGCCCAAGTAAGTAATGGGCAAATGCATACAACCCACATAGCACACAGAGAGAACTAACCCTTGAGGGGGCTGCTTGGTTTGCAAAAATCATGTGACTTTACTTTTCACAAGCCTTGTGTAGTGCAGCGTGTGAAACTCAAGCAAGAGCATAGATCGTGTCTGTCATGTGTGTCATTAGAAGGACATTTATGTAGTGTTTCCAGTTCTCCAAACTCTAAGTGTTTTATACATAATAATCCACCTGTTGTTGTTAGGTGCCATCATGTCAGTTCTGACTCACAGCAACCACACTTGTAACAGAAGGAAATACCATCCAGTGATGTATCATCATCCCAGTCACGGCTTTGTTTGAGCACACCGTGACAGCAACGTATTGAAACTCTTCCTCTTTTTCTCTGATCCTCAACTTCTAGGAGATGATGTCTTCTCTGGGGACTGGTCCCATCTGATAACATGTCCAAAGTGCATGAGATGAAGTCCTGTCATCCTCGCTTCTAAGAAACATGCATCTACCTCTCTAGGAACTCAATAAGATCAATATACTCATTTTAAAGAAAAGAAGTGGAGGCACAGAGAGGTTAGTTAGTTTGTTCTAGGCCACACAGCTAGAACACAATGTTGTTATGGTGTGTTCTTAAGTTGCTTCCAATTCATAACGACCATATAGGACACAGAGTTTCCTAGGAGTTGGAATCTGTTCAACGGCAGATAACAACAAACTTTATTGGCGCAGATTGTTGGGTATTTTCTCCTGAGAAGATACTGGGTTGGTCTGAACCACTACCTAGTTCTTAGCTACTGCCTCACCAGGACACCACTGGTATAAATCCAACACTTGTCACTGTTGACTTCGACTCAGAGCGACCCGATGGGTCAGAGTAGAACTGCCCTGCGCGGTTTCCAAAGCTGTGATCTTTACAGAAGCACACTGCCACATCTTTCTCCTGTGGAATGGCTTTCTGTGGTGTATCAGGGTATGGTAGTACATCACTGACACATAGTAACATTGTATAGGGTCTCCAAGGCTGTAAATAATCTTTACAGGAGCAGAAAGCCTCATTTTCTTCCATGGAGTGGTTGGTAGACTTGAACAGCTGACCTTTCAGTTAGCAGCCCAGCATGTAAACACCGCGCTACTCTTCACGATGTGTGTGGCTGTGACGAGACGCGCACCTTTCTCCAGCTCCTTTATCAGGCTATGTTGTTACTGTTAAGTGCCTTGGAGTCAGTACCGACTCATGGTTGTTAAGTGCCATTGAGTAGGTTCCGACTCACAGTGACCCTGCATAGGGTTTCCAAGGAGCAGCTGGTAGAATTGAACAGTTGACCTTGAGGTTCAAACAGACCTTCCAGTCCAGTACTTATTGTATAGCATCACACACAGGACTCCTAGCATCCCTGAACAGGGTTTCTGAGGCTGTAAATCTTTTCGGGAGCAGAAAGTCTCATTTTTTACCCTTGGAGCGACCAGTGAGCTCAAACTGCTGACATGTGGTTCGTAGCCCAGTGCTTTTCTTAGCCACCACACTCCAAAATACATAATGTTGTTAAGAGCCGTAGAGTTAATTCCAACTCACAGAGACCTTGTTTCCGAGGTGTGGCTGGTGGGTTTGAACCGCCAACCTTATGTCTCAACCTGACCTTGAAGACCAGTGCATTACTCTAGTACCACACCAGGACTCCAAAATATATAATTGTTGTTGTTGTTAAGTGCCATAGAGCCGAATCCGAACCATAGCGACCCTGTATAGGGTTTCCAAGGAACAGCTGGTGAGCTTGAACCACCAACTTTGCAGTTCAAACGACTTTATAAGTGGTACGTATTACAGCCAGAGTGCTCCTTGGAAGCCGGGATGTCTAGACTTTGTTTTTCATACTTTGGACATATTGTCAAGAGGGACCAATCACTGGAGAAAGATAACATGTTTGGTAAAATGGAGGGTCGGAGAAAACGAGATGGATTGGCACAGTGGCAGCATCAATGGGCTCAAACGGAGCAACGATTGTGAGGTTGGCCCAGGATCCGGCGGTGTTTTGTTCTGTTGTACACAGGGTCGCTCGCTATGAGCCGGTACTGACTGGATGATACCTAACAGCCACAACAAATACGTGCTGAAATGATCATTGGGAGAGAATTAAAGCGTTGCCAGAGAGGAAAACTGGTAGAGAAAAGGAGTTAGGAGAAACAGTTGCATTTCAAACTAGAAATGGATTCTGAAGGGAGGCAGCCCTCACTTCCTCCCTTTATGAAATCAGGCACAAAGAATGTCATTTTTTTACAGATGCAGAGAACCACAGTCCTAGGCCCCTCTGTCCCTCTGCCAAGGTGTGCACCAATAAGAGGATGGGGATTCAAAAGCTTGTAAAGCCTGCCCCGCCCTGCCCCACCCCAGGGATGCACACAAGCTGAATACCTGAACCTTCAAGGGAACAGGACCAATACTGGCGCTGGCTTGTATGTATACCTGGTTTCTTATTGGCTCCTCCCCTTAGGATATGCCAGGGTTTCCTTGACTTCTTGGACATGCGCTCAACTCTCCACACATGCGCACTCACCTGTCACGATGTGCGTGGCCCTAACGAGGCGTGCTCCTTCCTCCAGCGCCCTGCGTCGCAGCACTCCACAGAAGGTACAGCAGGCTCGGCTTCGGCCCGAACCCGCCGTGCTGCGCGCCACGGCGTCCATTGTCCAGCCCCCGAAGAGGTCAGCATAGGCCACGACAGTGAGCGGGAGCTCCCAGCGCGCCGCCTGGCGCCGCACAGCCGCCAGCGCTGCGTCCCGGTAGCCGCCGATGCCCTCATCCACAGCCACAAGTTGCAGCGAGATGCCCAGGCGTGGCGCCAGCTCCCGCAGCACGTGCGCCAGCACTGTGGAGTCTTTGCCGCCCGAGGCGCCTACGGCCACCACGGCCCCGGGGGGCAGCAGACTGCCCGCCAGCACTGTGTGCAGCACTTCGGCCTCGAAGGCGGCACAGAAACAGGGACCGCACAGCGCTTGTCCCGAACGCGGGCGGCGGAGGGCGGCACGTGCAGCGTGGCAGACGGCGCATGGCGGGGCTGGCATTGCGGGGTCCCCAAGATCTGCTTCTCCTGGACAGGAAGAAGGGAGGTAGGTTACACGTAGATTCGCCACATCCAGAGAGACCACCCCGATAGCGTCCCCGGCATGAATAAATCCATGAGAGGTGGGTGTGGGAGAAGCAGGCTTCTTTTGGAGACAGGCTGTGTTACACAAATGTATACCATCACCTCCACCCAGCTCCTTCACAGGACTGGACACAGTGACTTGGGACTCATCACCCACCGCTGGACTTAGTGCACTTCTGCTAGAAACTCGCCCTGCAGGATCAATTGGGTGGACTTTTCAGATCCTCCAATGTTTCACTTTGCCCAGCCGTTTCCATTGTGTGGAACACTCAGCCTCGGATGTTGGGCAGTTCACGTCACAGCCTGAACTCTTGATCCATTCAGCCAATGATCACTGAGTACCTCTGGTAGCGTAATGGTTACGAATCAGGCTGTAAACTGCAATGTCAGCAGTTCGAAACTACCAGCTGTTCCGCGGGAGAAAGATGAGGCTTTCTGCTCCCGTAAAGATTTACAATCTTGGAAACCCTGTACAGGGTCGCTATGAGTCGGAACCGATTCCTCGGCAAATAACCACTACCACCACCTCCTCTGTAGCCAAAATGCTCTAAGCACTAGGGACACAGCTGTGAAGGAGACAGGAAAGTATGCAGCATTCAGGGCACTAGTATTTTCGTGGAGGAGGTAGACCAGCCATAGATAAGTAAACAACCAAGACTGCTTCCAAATATGGGGAGTAATATGGAGGAATTAAGAAGCTTTGGTAGCATGGTGGTGGTTACGAGTGGGACTGCTAACCTCAAGGTCAGCAGTTTGAAATTACCAGCCATTCAGTGGGAGAAAGATGAGGCTTTGTGCTCCTGTAAACATGTATAACCTCGGAAACCCTATGCAGGATAGCTATGAGTCAGAGCCAACTCCACGGCACACCACCACCACCACCACCATCATAAAGCAATTATCCTAGATGATATTACTGGTGGTGCAACAGTTAAGCGCTTGGCTGCTAACAGATATGCTGGTGGTTTCAGCCCACCCAGAAGAGAAAGACGCGGTCATCTTAAGTGCCATCAAGTTGCTTCTGATTCGTAGTAATGCTGTATAGGGTTTATTAGGAACAGCTAGTGGGTTTGAACTGACAACCTTGTGGTTATCCTACAGTGTCACCTTTACAGCATAGCAAACCTTATGTGGCAATTCCTATTTTCGTCACACAGGGTCACTGAGTAACTGCAAGGGAATGGGGAGGCTGAAGCCATCAAAAGGAGAAGGAACCAGTATTGGACCAAGAGTGTAAAGACTGTCCCATAAGAAATGCAAAAGTACTTGAAGAACAGGGTTTGGCAGTATTCATTTGGAAAGTGTATGGCTCAAGACCTCAGAAGCATTTAGTTTGGGAGAGTGAGGAGTTTGTATTTTTTTCTGAATGAGCTGGGGACCACTGGAAGGTTTTAAGCTATGGGTGACTGGATCTGGTTTATAGTCTAACCGGGTTCCTCCAGCTGTGTGTGAACATGACTGGCGTTGGAGTGATTTGTTGTTACGTGGGGTCAAGTCAGGTCTGACTCACAGCAACCCTGTATAGGGTTTCCAAGGAGAAGCTGGTAAGTTTGGATTACCGACTTTTTGGTTAGCAGTCCAGTATTTATCCTACAGCGCCACACTGGTAGAGGGGTGGGGTGGTGGCAAAGACAGAGAAAGACCGCTGTAGTGATCCAAACCAAAGCCTTTGGCACTGAATAAGTTAGGAAATTCTGATTCGTGGTAACCCCATGAGTAGAACTGCCCCCAGCGTGTAGCTTTCTTGGCTTTATGCTCTAAAGAAACATCACCAAGACTTTCATCTGCAGCTCCATTGGGTGCGCTTGAATCACTAACCTTTAGATTAGCGCAAAAAGAAACCAAATCCACTGCGGTCAAGTTAATTCTGACACATAATGACATTAAAGGACAGAACAGAGCTGCCCCGTGGAGGTCTCAAGGCTGTTAATCTTTATGGAAGCAGATTGCCACATCAGTCTCCCAATGAGCAGATGGTGGGTTCGAACCTCTGAGCGCTTTAGCCACTGCGTACTAGAGCAAAAAATATTTGCACCATCTGGGTTTGAAATGATCCAGGTGAGCATAATGGGGGTTTAGAAAAATGGAAGTGGTGAGAAATAGAATTCTGAGGTCTAGTCTGCAGTTTGAACACATGAGGCAAAAATATAGGGGAGAAGTGTGGATGAACAAAACCAAGGGCTCGGGTCACCTTCAAGTTGTGGTCAGACGTCTAAGAAGAAACTGGAACCACTTGGGGGTAAGAGGGCAAAGAGTTGTGAGAATCAGAGAATCTGGAATTTCGTTTGGGTATGTTAGATTTGAGGTCCTGTGCTCTGGAAAGTGAAATGATCCCTGTCCTGGGATTACACAGGCGCCTAAGTGCCCCCTCCCCGCCCCCAGGCGAGCCTTGACCTTCTTGGATTCTAACTAGACCCAGAAGGGTGCTCTCGGACCGAACTAAGTTTGGAGGGGCGGGAGCGAGGAGTCAGAGGTGGCTGCAGTGCGGTCAGCACCTGCCTAGGCCATTACAGCCCGGAAAGCCATGGGGAAACTGACGTTGGGGAATCCGGAGACGCGTGTCACCTCTCCAGAGATGCCTGCTGGACTGCGTGGGAGAGAAACAATGGAGACCCCTCGATTCCTAAGTGGCAATTTGATAAAGATCGAGCACCGGCCCACCTCGAGAGGGAATACTCACTTGGACAAAACACCGCGCGGGGAGGTCCAGGATCCAGGAAAACGCGGAAACGTGTGAGAGGACTACGACTCCCAGAAGGTTATGGGGCTACCTGCCTACGACTCCCAGGAGTCCACGCGGCTGTTTGGCCTAAAGCATTTGCTGTTTGGGGACAAGCTGGGCCTACAATTCCCTGCGAACTTTTCGGTGACGCCACGCCCTCCGCCCACAACTCCCAGAGTGTCCTGAGCTGCACTCCCTATTTCCGGTCTGCGTCTGCGCGCCAACACGTGTAGCTTGAGAATCTTTTTCTCTGCTTCCGGCTGCATAGAGGCGCTGCTGTAGTTGTAAAACGTAGTCAGTCGGACTTCAACTCATCACGCTAAGTGCCCCGTGGAATCGGTTCCAACTCATAGCGACCCTGTACAGGGCTTCTGGGAGTCCTGGTGTGGCGCTGCAGGATAATGCACTGGGCCGCAAGATTGGCGGTTCAAGTTCACCAGCCGTTCCTATACAAAGTCGCTAGGAGTCGGCACTTATCAACAGCATAGGGTTTCCAAGGAGCGGCTAGTGGGTGAAACTGCTGACTTTGTGGTTAGTTCATCCTACAGCGCCACGTTAGGAGAGAGCACGTTCGTTGCACTCACGACCAGCATGTATCAAGCTGTGCGAGGGTGGGCTTGTGCGCATGCCTGCTGCAGGCGTGGAACTTGTGCACGCGCCTGCAGCAAAAGGCAGAGGCGCTAAGGGGCGGTATGGCTGAGGCTTTGTGTTTAATTAACTGCAGGCATCGGACAGTGACTGGGGCACACCTGCCGGGTGGTGGTGAAGGTAGAGCTGTAGATCTAGAGAAAGTGAAACAGGGTTGCAGGGATCACATGCTCCAAAGATGAAGGAATAGAACGTGCTTGCCACATCCCGTCTCTCCAAACGATTCCCTTCTGCACATTCTGAGAGCCTCCGTCGCTACCCCTGTGAGGTCTTTGATAGGGAGGGTTGATGATGCAGGTTGATGGGACACAGCCTTCCAATGGGGCATACTGTATGCTAGGGAGTCCTGGTTGGCGCTGTAGGTTAATGGGCCAGACTGCAAAGCCGTTTGAACTGTACAAGGTCGGCGGTTCAAGCTCACCGGCTGCTTCTCGGAAACCCTATACAGGGTCGCTAGGAGTCCGGGTGTGGCGCTGTAAGATAAGCATTCGATCGTAAGGTCACCGGTTCAAACTCAGCAAACAGGTTCTCTATGAGTCAGAAATGACTTGGGGACACTTAAGAACAACAGGTGTGCTAGGCTGTGTCTTCTGGGGACAGCTGTCTCTCTCCAGACTTGGTATTATATAAAGAACGTGAGTTATCTCACGAGTTTTTATGCTGATTGCATGTTGAAATGATCATATTCTTGATCTATTGGATTAAATGAAATATTGAAATTAATTACACCTTTTTTTTGTTATAAACTATGGTCTGACACTGTAGGATAAGCACGAGGCTATTAACCACAAGGAGCCCTAGTGTGGCGCTGTAGGATAAGCAATCAACCATAAGTCGGTTTGAACCACAAAGTTAGCCTTTCAAACCCATCAGCAGCTCCTCAGAAATCCTATACAGGGTTACTATGAGTCGGAACTGACTTGATGGCACTTAACATCGAGGTCCAAACAGTTGAGTTTTTGACCACGGGTCCAAAGGTTGGCTGGCCAAGCACAGCAGAAGCACCTCAGAAAATAGACCATCTGTTTCTAAAGGTCACAACCTTGAAAAGCAGCTGGTGGGTTTCTACACGTGTGGTCGCCAAGAGTCAGAATCAACTCGCCAGCAACAACTAGAAACATTTTAATTATATATATGTTAGATTTCTGTTGGAAAGCATTGCTGTAGATCACATGCAAGTCTCAGCAAATAGTGACGTTACCGTGCCTTGCTTTGACAAGGAAACTTCAACAAATAAGCTTAGTAAATTAGCTTTTCATCGAATCCAAAATTTCTCACGAGCCTCTGTTATATAATTTAGAGGAATATAAAAACAGTGCTTCACTGGTCTAGAAAGTAGATAAGTAAGAATCAAGAGTGCTGAATATGTGTCTTTCGGGTAGGGATGTTTATGGTTTGAATGTGTGTGTATGTATATTACTTAGCCAATTCTATTTTGACTTCGCAAATCCTGTGTAGAATTTCCTAGAGTGGAACTGTTTACGGGAATAGACAGTTTCATCTTTTCCCCTAAGGAGCAGCTGGTGGGTTTGAACCACTGATGTGTG